ACGCACCCGGGATTGAACCCGGGCCCCCGTACTTCTCCAACCGACGTCTTAACCATTGCGCCACCGCGTCAAACGCTTATCTTTGTACATTGCTCATCAATTCGGTCGATATCCATACTTCTAATTTGCATAATCTGTCGAGAGTGATAATTGTACAGCTCACGAATGGAAACAAGACACTCAATCGCGGCTGCACAATTTAATAACCTGCAAAAATGTCGTGAGCAACAGTGTCTGATTGGTCACATTATGACACGAATTTCGAAGTTAATTAGCCAATCAATGACATTTGAGGCCAGGTTTTCGAAGTAAAATTTGGTGAACCATTCCGTCGTTCCCTGTACACTGCCCGTCACTGCAGGTATGCAAACCCAGATTAACGTCAGCGTAATTTCTTTTTTATTTACATAGGTGATTTTACTGTTAAAACAGTATATAATTTAATCAATTTAAGACACATTTTAGCATAATATTTTCATTCTTTGACAAGTCATGTAATCTCATAATTAACACTGTAAAGTGACTTCTAAATTGAATACCGTATACACTTGATAAAGATTACTCCCTCCGTCCCACAATACTTGCGTACTCCCTCCGATCCAAAAAGTTGCGCGACTTTGAGGAGGGTTTACATGACACATCATTAAGTTTGTATGAGACTTCAGGCACGGTTTTCGTCCATCCTCGAGTTGAATTTCTGCGCTCCAATTGGTCTGTCGAAAAGAGCGCGAAACAGACAGCAGTTAAGGGATTTTCAGGGTTGAAATTTGATGTTTCCAAGCCTCGTTATGGAGGTCAGAAGATTTAATACAAATTCCAAGATAAAACCAGCTTTCAAATATACAAACACTCTTACATGGTGGGAATTTTGACAGCTCACTTCAGAATGACACAGGGCAGGCTTGACCTGACCAATATGGTGCGTGAGGCCATCCTGCGTGAAGTCTTGCTCAAGTGTCAAGACGGTGTGGTTTGCCGATTACCGAGAGGCTTCGGCAACGACCTTGCGACAAAGTATGGTTGCCACGTGTCGTCCGTTCGTCGCATCATAGCTCGAGAAAAGGCACAGGATATAGCGTCTGGAAACATGCAAGTGTGTGTAGCTAACAGAAAGAAACGTCGCGTTGGCCGGAAGATAAAGTACACGGCTGCCCAGGCGCGAGAAAAGCTCTTGCAGGTTCCACTGCGAGAGCGTACATCATTGCGATCCATCTCCGCCAAAACCGGTTACAAAAGATGTTCCGTCACCCCCAATCTAAACTCGTATCGTAGGAATGAGTTACGGTACATTGCATCGGTATCTCAAGCGTGGTATGTTCCGTGCGCACTCAAATGCTATCCGTCCTATGCTTACCGACGTCAACAAATACAGCCGACTGAAATTTGCCCTCAATTTTATGGCGCCCGGACAAGATATGCGCGAAATGCTGGACTACGTTCATCTCGACGAAAAATGGTTCTAATTGACCTTAGTAAATCGCAAGTTCTATCTCGTCCCAGGCGAGAAGCCACCCGAGCGCAAGTGCAAGAGCAAGCGATTCATTACGAAGGTTATGTTCTTGACGGCGGTGGCACGGCCTCGGCTCAACGAGGACACCGGTGTTTGGTGGGACGGCAAAATCGGAACGTGGCCCTTCGTCAAGCAAGCCGCGGCTCTTCGCTCAAGCGTCAACCGAGAAGCTGGCACGATTGAAACCAAGGTCATCAGCGTCACAAAGGATGTCTACCGTGAGTACCTGCTGGGGAAAGTGCTGCCAGCGTTGGCCCAGCCGTGGACGAACCATCATGCTTCAGCATGACAACGCCCGGACACACGTAACCACGTCCGACGCCAAGCTACAGGAGAGTTTCCGTCAATATGCGGCACAAGCGTGGTTTCTTGCCCCACAGCCGGCAAACTCGCCTAACCTCAACGTCTTGGACTTGGGCTTCTTCGCAGCACTGCAGTCCCTACAACATCGTGAGTCCGCGCGCACCATCGATGACTTAGTGGCCAATGTGGCGAAAGGATTCAAGGACTATCCGTTCGAGCGGCTCGATCATACCTTCATGACGTTGCAATCTTGTCTACTGGAGACCATCAGAGTGGGAGGATTCAAGGACTATCCATTCGAGCGGCTCGATCATACCTTCATGACGTTGCAATCTTGTCTACTGGAGACCATCAGAGTGGCCGGTGACAACTCGTACAAGATTCCGCACTTGGGAAAGCAGCCCGACAGAAGACTACCGCGACGGCACGGCCAAGTTGAGCGCTATCGACGCGGTCGCGTATGAACGTGCTGTGGAGACAGAGTTGGATGAGCTTCCGACGGCTGACGAACTGTCGACGTTCCTTGAGAGCATGGCCCTGGACTCCGAAGTCACGGCTGCCTTGGAAGCTGCAGGACTTGAAGCTATTGAATTATGAGTAGTGATATGTTGAGTAGATGTGTTGTACTTCGTTGGAGTTGTTGTGCTCGGTAGGAGGGTACTCGAGGTAAACCCCCTCCTGAATCGAATGGCAGTGTTGGTTTTTCATGAATCGCAAATTTGGATGGTTCTGTGTGTGACACACATTCTGTAACGTTACAACCTTGAATCTCAATATATCTATTAAAATATAGGGTGTGCGGAGTACTTTTTTTCGAGGAGGGATTTGTGAAATTCCGAAGTCGCGCAACCTTTTTGGATGGGAGGGAGTAGATCAGAAAAAGGATGTACGGCTCCTTGAATAAAATATCAAACACCTCAAAACTTTATCCTACGCATTGAACACAGTGTAGTGCGTTAAGCGATCGACACTCGCAGTAGCTTCGCCTTAACCTGCTCGGGGGTATAGGCCATCTTCCTACCCACCCGACCCTTCTTTCTGCTCGAAACCGAGACTTTCATGTTGCCGGTAGCAACTCCCTGCTGCTTTGACAGAAAAAAAGACGCGGCGGATGGTAGAGTGGTGGCAGTTGTACTTTTCGGCAAGCACCTGCGCAATGCCATTTGGCAATCTTGCGAAGGAGGTCTTACTGTTGTGGAGCAGAATCTCCCGAAGGATGGCCTCGCGGTCTTCGTTCGTTTGTTGACACGCATTATGAATGTTGGTCACTAATTTATATGATTTAAAGTATGAGAACTTTGCGAGCGATTTCTGTGAAGGTTCCAGTGTATTTTTCCCTCGCTGACACATGAATTGACAGGACTTGGCGCGCTTGTTCATATGGACCAATGAAACACGTGAAATTCAACAAGGGCAGACGACAAACAAGTTTGAAAATCACTTGCAAATATAATGACGAGTTATTTCCCCCCTCCCCATGACTACGCAAGTATTTTGGGACGGAGGGAGTACTTTGAAGTACAGTACTCATGAAGAGGTTATGCGAATTTCGGTGCTCAAATCTGTTATACATTATTCAAGTCAAACACATGGGCGGATTTTATATTTATGTTACACAGGAAAATTTCAGAATTGAGAAATACGTCAAGCAAAATGGATAAGGAACACAACGATGGGTCCTGCATAAACTTATAACGCTACCTTGAGAATGCATGTTTTTCATCCTTCGCCGGACCTTGGAAATCTCATACTACGTAGTATAAAACAAAACTGAAGCGGTATCGTTTTCTGGAGAACATGGTGAAAACTTCAAAGAACATGGTTTTGATTGGCCAATATTATGGGGTCAGGTCTACGGTACAGTATTCAACGCCTGTCCACTGACAACAACAATCATTTCAAGGCTTCCACCCTTGCCCTGTCGTGCACACGCAGTAAGCTGCTGTCAAATGAAGGCGCCATGTTCCGTGGGTCTCGTGGGCATTGCATGGGCCTGAGTAATTCGGTTGACACCGTGATGAAGCAACGGAAACCTTTACAATGCAACATGCGTACATGGTTGCAGATTCCACTTCCTGGTACGTTGCTATGAGTACAGAAAATGTGCACACAAAGATCAGGGAATCACAGGTAACATTTGTGGAAGTTTGTGATACAGGGGACTTTACTGCGACAGTAGGTCATATGTGCAGTGCATATGGATATAAAGGGAAATATTCCTCTGTAGAAAACGCTACTTGAGCATAGGATTGGGATCTTTCCTTGCTTTGGTTGCACCAGTACTTACTACTAATAGTTCTATTAATAGTACACGTCAAGGTGTCGCTATTCATAGCGCACGCATTGCACCGCAATGACAGAAGGGGGTATCTACCAGAAACAACCCTTAATAAAATCAGTACGTATAATCCTGATAAAAGTGGTGGAGTACACCACATTTTTTACGACACGCCGAATTACTACAGTACAAGCTAGTACTAACTTAGCACCCGAGAACAATTATCAATAGTGCTATGTGGCTTGTTCAAATACTACACTCGCTTGCGCTTGTGCGATGTAGTTTCGTCGTCGTCATCGCTCTTGTGGATGTCAGCAAGGATTTCCTCGTGCGTGCATTCACCCAGCGCAGGAATCATCGAGCGCTTGTGGTTATACAAGAGGATCTTTGTGCTCACATACCAGTCGAGAATACCAAGGCGCAAGCAACTGCAATCACTACGAAGCTCGGGGTACATGTTTCGAAGCACCTGGTTCCTTCCTTCGTGTTCGCACTTCTGGACTGTAGTCAAAGTGTGGGACACCTAGTGACATATCAGACACATAATGATATACAGTACGTGCTGCTGTAATCACGGTACTAATACAGTACTACTGTACTTACTTGGAATAAGAGGACTAATCCATTAGTATGGTACTTATCCATGAACCTCGTCAGGTTTTTACTGACGGACTTTCCCCAGTCGATGCGCCACCTGGACCACTGTAGAATGGCCGAACCTTGTTTGAGACCGCTCCTGTCGGCTGGACCGTCCTTGACCACGCTAGTTACTATGCGTCCTCGATCTCTTTCCTCAGAAACGAAGCCCCAGTCTTCATGGATGCAGTGCCGCGCTAGCACAACCTGGTACTTTTTCGCAGACATGTTGTTTTGGTATCGGATAGTTTCAGAATGTTATCCTTATTTAAGCAGAAATAAATAATTATTGTTTTTGTGTAGCAATAAGTGGTGGACTTCACCATTTTATTTAAACAGCACCGTGTAGCTCACGCTTGTCACCGTGTTCCACAAACGCCATGGACTTTTTATCACGTCCCCTTCAATTAAAGTGCAAGCCGGTGGCTGTACTTTCGTAGTAACTCATCGAAGTGTACGGCTAATGCTGCATCGTTAGCTACAACGAACGAACTCCCTGGCCAGAAGATCATTCATCGCCCATGATCTTGCTCAGGCCGTAGTCCAGGCTGTGTCCCTGACCAACTGTAGACTACTTGGTCGTGGTATTATCTAGAGATTACACCCACTCTCTTCAGTTTACAATGCAAAGCAACCTCCTGTGATTCCAATTATGATCTCGCCAAGATCGTTGTTCAGCCGTGACCACGTACACATACGATAGCTTTCATGACGTGGCTTGCTCTGCAGCGACCACAAGCCTGTTTCAGCCGTGCACTCACATCTGCACTATGTACAACCTTGTATTTACGTCTTGAAATGGTGGCTATGCTAACGCCTTGCACGCTACTCCAACACAATCCACACTTCGAGCGCTCGACACGGATGTGGTCCAGCCCTAACATCCGCTTCTATGTTGATGACGTGGCACGCTCTAGAGCGACCGATTCATTATACGAGATAAAGCAACAACAATGAACGCCCCCCCGGCTACACTGCAACAATTTACTCGACCCCGGCCTCCCCCCACCATCATACAAGGTAAAGCAACAATAACGAACGCCCCCTGGCTACACTGACGCAATTCACTCGAACACGGTATCATCCAAGCCGCAACCAAGTAGCCACGTGACGTGTAAAGCCTGCGTCAACAATGAACGCCCCCCCGGCTAAAGCAACAACAATGAACGCCCCCCCGGCTACACTGCAACAATTTACTCGACCCCGGCCTCCCCCCACTATCGTTAAAGCCAGCACTCAACTCGGACGTGGTCAAGCCCGAATAACCACTTCGATGCATTGTGTTGTATAGATGACGTGGCACGCTCTACAGTGACCCGATTACATTATACAAGGTAAAGCAACAACAACGAACGCCCCCTGGCCACACTGACGCAATTCACTCGAACACGGTATCATCCAAGCCGCAACCAAGTAGCCACGTGACGTGTAAAGCCTGCGTCATAACCTATAGCATGCTCAAGAGCACTGTAGCTAAACGCTCTTTTGTCAAAATTTGGTGGTTTTCACCACTTTTGTAACTTCCGTAACGTCCTGTATCGCCTGCTTTTACCTGTGTAGAAAAAGAACGATGTAATAAAAACAGCTTTTCGGCAGAATGAGTGCGAACACTGTGCAGTAAAGGCGTGTACATGGGAACATTGCAAAGGATGTCGACGTGGCTTAATTTTCGTATGCGTTCATCAATTCGCAACGACGCATTCGCAACGAAAAAAAACATTGCCGCTACGACGCCAGCCATGCCGATACGAGACCAGCCATGCCGATGGGATGCCCCACTCGAATCGTGCCGTGCATGCTGCGAAGCACCGACTGCTCGCTGCTCGCTCTGCGCCACCCATGTCTGCTGATATAGGTCATACATGTAGCTCGACGTGGAACTCAACGTGGCCAGAGCAATGACCCGTGGACCACCGTTACGCTATGCTACGCCACGACAACATGACTCAGCCGCCTGAGACACCATGCCCCCGTGATCAGCGTTGCAATTCAACCTTCACGGCCCCATAAAGTACTCAAAACTACCCTTGGTGTGTTAGAAATAAGTACGAAGAGTAGTAGTGTATAACACCAGATTTTGATGAATACGTTTTTGTTGTATTTGTTTTGCTCGGCTATACACTCTTGCGCCACAATAAAGTGTAAAGAATGAATTAATATGTAATAGAAACTAATCGAAAATCAATGCTCCTTGGTTGACACGGTGCCGACCACGAGGGTTCCCGCGAGGTAGAAATTGAGGATCGCCGTTAAGTGCTTGGCGCCTGCCATTACGAATAGTGCGGTTGACAAGTCTTCGCACTCGTATCGTCATTCCCGGCACGGCCGCCCCAATCGATTCACACACAGCAATGCAGTGCACACATACGTGGTGGCGCTTCCAATACATGCAACCGCACGTAGTTTTGTTGTTGAATCTGGTCACTTTCCAGCCATGTGGAGGTTGCAGATGTTTCTCTAGGCGGCGTAGGTTCCTGTTGATTGGATGGCGCCTGTTGAACTCGGGGTCTCGACCTTGTCCGAACGCAACCTCGTCATCGTCATCTGGCGGTGCATTCAGATGTTGAACTTGCCATGTCGCTGGCATATCAACAATCCGTGCAGAAACTACCAATAGGTGTTTCTTCAACAGACTTGCATAATGTCGTTTTAGCCTGTCGCCAACTTCGACAGCTGTAGCCCATGGAAGTCGAAGGCGCGATTCCCGCCGCATGAGCTTCACCGCCTCTTGTATTAAATGCGGGACATGAAGTTTGCCGTTGTGAAGGAACTACCATTATTAGATTACGTAAAGTGGTATGTATGTGTGGTTATGGTTATGGGTAAACATACACTTTTGAGCTCAGCATTAAATTGCTCATTCGGGTTGTTTGTAAGGGGCGATCCACGGTCACTGTGGTACACTTGCCACTTCCAGAAACGTTCCTCGTTGACACGGCTGTAGAGGGCCACCATAGGCAGCCACGTGTCGAAGAAATAGGTTCTGAACTTGCGGTGTACACGATCAACACTCCACCTTTGATGCACCCGCTGCATTTCTTGAAGCAGTTGGTTGTAGTTTTCCACCATGTGTAACATGTAAATGTCAAACGACACTTCGCACTATTCCGCCCAGGATAAACCATTTCGCTTCTCGTAGTACTAGTACAAATTGCCAAAAATCAGCTTAAATATCAGTGTACAAGTATTCAATAGTGTTAGACGTACCTTCTTCATGACGTGGAAGTAGCACATAAGGTATTGAACACCTGGTAGGATGGGACGCAGTGCATTAACCATCCCACGGTACTGAGCACGGTCTGCATCTCCCATCAGGAGCTGAGGCTGCCAATCGTACGCCATGTGTGTACGAAACAAGTTACCCAGGGAATTCAACAACCAGGCAAAGTCTTGATTGGTTCTCTGTGATGTGATGCACACACATAGCACGTGAAAATGGCCAGCGAAATCGGAGTATCCGAACACAAACAATGGATACCCCGACTTGTTGGTTTTGAACGTCGTGTCCACATGGCACAGAATTCGAACATCTGGATTGCCCAGGCATGCCTCGCGATACTGTTGAAGTAGGTCGAACGTTGTAACGCCTACACGCAAATTACGTAATGAAGTACTAGTACAGAATCAGACCCACCGACGCGAAATGAATCTACACCTCCATCTCCAACTGTAGGTATATCGTTGTCAGTTGCGACACCAAAAACAAATGGTTCGTGGGCGTTCGCATCATCCGCATGGTCCGGCATTCCGTGCTGCACAATTACAGCTTGGACAGCCGCTACAGTGCTCGCGTGGTTCATGAACTTCTTCGTGATATACTTCACGGCTTCCTGGACTTGCGCCAGGCTAGGTAGAGGTACATCGCCAAATTCACCCCGGGCGTGAGCAGCCTCTAACTTCGTGAACAGGTGCTTTGCCTTCAGAGCAGGCTGCTCTGTAATCCATTCGCGCAAATGATCCTTCATGTCAGGTGTTACCTACTTAAACATTAGATCTATTACTGCAATACAGAGAGTTCGTGCCTTCGTTGGACGAGGTGACGCATGTCCCTGTAGTTCAGGTGGCATTGCGTGGACACCACATATGTCCACAGTGGCTGTCGCAGACACCGATCACACTCTAATCCTGTACGAAGCATTGCATCTTGGCACGGCCAATTCGCCGTTGATGGGGTCTGGGCGATGACATCTAGCGGACACACAGCGCGTATACTTGATTTGCATGTCATGCGGGTTAAAGCAGGCAAGGAGAAATGGGTCGCCATGGTTGACAGTGCAGCCTGTACGGTTACTAGTCGGAACACGATGCGAGGGCAGCGTATCACGAAAGGCCCCAAGCTCTTGCTCGGATAGCGTGGCGAGGTTAACGAACGCTCTCCCAGCCATGTCGATGGACCTGTAGGCGAAACGTGTTCTATTTTGGCGTAGGAGCGTCAAGTTGTAATCCTCGTTTCGTTACGAATTCAAGAACTTGACATTAAACCAATGAGCAGCAAGCTACGTCAAATTGCCCAATGACGTTTTGATGCTAATGCCCATTTCAGCCACTTAGCAACAAGATAAGTAGGTCAAGCTGACCAGGATGGCAGGTTTGATGTTAGGTTAGTTGATCTTAGGCATCTTTAGATTCGTTTTTTATACAAGCCTATCAGTAAATCGCAATTTTGAGTAGGCCAATGGCCTCTTATATCATCTTTTTCTCAACCAACCAGTAACAAGCAATACGAATGAATAGCAAAATTTAGCTGGCCTATTAAAATCGTCAGCCTATCATAAATTTGTCGAGAACATTTGTCCAATGACTTGATTACCTCATAAGCCAATCCGTAACAAGTAATGTGATATTATTGGCAAAAGGCAAACATTGGGTTAACTCATGAGCCAATC